TTTTTAAAAAAAATATTAGATACGAGTTGCCCAATTTGATTATGTTAATAGAGCAAGAATTTTAAAATAGTTTACACAGTTATAGAAACTTAAGAGAAAAAAAGATTACTTGCATGAAGGTAAAAGCATTTCCTGTGAATATCATAAAAAGAAACTTTCCTGCATTTCAAAATTCTTGTCTCCTTACAACTATATAAAGAAGGCAATCTCTCAGGTAATCTGCACCAATTCCTCTAATAAAAGTAGGCCTAAATCATGCATAATTTTCTCCTCAGATGACCCGCATTCGACCTCAGGTAAAGCCATGAACAATTCCACAAGTAAAAAATTGGGGTTTCACTCCCTCACACATTGCACTCAGGGTATAACATGAAAGGGACTGAAACACCGGCAGTTTTAAAAAAGGCTCTCGTGTCCTGGTTCTGCGGAGGATGACGGTTGTTGAGAATTTAGAATAATTGACTTGCTTATGCGACATTTGAGATGACTCGTGATGCATGCAGAATGGCAGTTCCAGATACAGAGTCGTGTTTCAGGGCCCTATTCAAAATCACTGCGGTATATCTAAAACCACTTATTTTTTCTTAGAGGTAAGCACGTATATTAGAATTGAGAAAATTTGATTAACTTGCCATTCACTTTATATTGATTTGTTTTAACTAATAAGGTCTTGAAAACCCATTGAAAATAATGTGGTCTTAGATATAAGAAATTATAGGTATGAATTGCTACCAGAAATATATAAGAGCACCAAAAGCATAGATTATATTGTGGGATTGGGGATATTAGTCGCATTTGCAAAACTTTATGCATTCTGCCACAAGTCACATTGCTGTAAGTAGTATGAACTTTGCTTGGCCTTTACACTTTGTACATATTTTTTTTTACTCTCTCTCACTAACAAGTTTATGAATTCTAGATCAAAGTTTAAGGTATCGTCTCTCATTTCTTCCTCTCACCTTTTCAAACTGTTACAGGAAACAGGTGTCATTTACTAGTATTGTAAATGATTCAAAAAGTAATTGTGTCACACTAGATTATATATTTCCCAACACAGATATAGTGAGTAATCTTCATATTTCTATGAAGGAGTCAATCATATCATAGACAGTATTTGTTTAATGTCAAGTTGATGTCATAGCCCATGAGTATGCAGTATTTCAGTAGCAATTCATACACCGACACCCTGCAATGCACTGTACATATCTAATATTTGTATATATTGTAATTTTTCAATGTGGTGGTACTTTGATTGCACGAATTGGGCGTAGTATTTTTCTATTTTAATGTTTAATATATATTTCTTGACTTTAGGTTGGTAAGAAATTGGTAATTCATTGATGAAATGTTGTTGTGGTATATATATACAGATTTTTTAATCCTATTTTTTGCAAATGTAGGAATGCCATTACATTAGTCACAGAATATTACCTTTTTTTTCCATTGGGGAAAGTGATTGTGTTGTTACGTTTATGACATAGTAATGTGATATGCATTTTTCTCAGTGTTTAATTGTATGATTCCCTATTTCATAGATCAGTAAGTGCAGTAATTTAGCAAGAGTTCAAAGCAGTTTCAGTAACTAAATACCATTAAGCAGTTAAATGTTATTTGTATATCATTCCTGTTAGTTTTTTATCATAAAATTGCAGAATCTTTTTCTCTGTCAAACAGGAGAATGATAATTGAATTAAGAAAATATAACTGATACTTCACATGAAACATACTACAGTCATATATAATTGTGTCTATTTATTGTAAAAAGGACAGTATTAATGTCATCCACCTTCATCTTGCCTCCTGAAGCTTCAGACCTAACACTACTATACACTTTATTCGGGCGTACTAATGGATCGCTGCCATGCATTTGCAGCTAGTCCGAACCTCCCTATGATAATCGTGTCTTTTACTCTTTTTTTAACTGCACTGATTTCCTTTTTTTAAATTTTTTTTAAATTTTTTTTTTAATACATTTTTTTATATTTACATTTCTCGGACTCTAAGATATTGTGCATTTTAAGCTTAGTTATAGTTATGTAATCGTTTTAAAGATTTATGTCATGTTTTGCATCAATATGAAGAAATAGAATGAGAAAAATTATTATCATTTTTGTTTTTATTTTTTTTTAGAACACTGTATTGTCTTTTACTAGTAATATTGAAACAAAAAATCCCTTTTTTTTACTGTATAGTTGATAGAGATATACATCTAATTAGCACATGTTTTGATGAAAATGATCTAAAATGTATGAGGTCTGACAGAGATCACCGCTTTACAGATGGACAGATTCCTGGAAAGCGGCCGGAATACCTAAAGGGTGATGATTATGGTCCCGCTTATAAACCAGACGATAAGTGTGAGTTTTCTCTGTTTCTTTATCTCCCTCACTCTCTCTCTCTCTCTCTCTCTCTCTCTGTCTCTCTCTCTCTCTCTCTCTCTCTCTCTCTCTCTCTCTCTCTCTCTCTCTCTCTCTCTCTCTCTCTCTCTCTCTCTTCTCTC